AAGGCTGGCGTTTTATAATGTTGGTGAGTTGGGGATTAAGGGCCTCTGTGCAGCAGAATAGCCCCTCTAATTAAAAAGGATAAGAAGGCAGAGAAATAGCGAGAGGCACGGGAGGAAGCAAAGAGAGAGGGAGAAGGGAGAGCAAATTTGCCGAGAAAAGAAAGAAAAGAAAAACTGTTTTAAGTGGCAGTGCTGCAGCCGGGCCTAGCAATTCAGACGGGATTAACTTTACTCTCCTCCCCCTTATTTCTGTCTCTCTCTCTTCCTCTCTCTCTCCCCACAATCTCTTTCTATTGTGGAGTTTCCGAACTTTACTCTCCACATGCCACCTACTCCCTTGGAAGTATACGCATTCAAGGCGTTTAGGTGGGCCCCAAAAAGCTACATCTGTAGGTTTTTTTTTGTGATAATCTCTGTTATGTTGAACTTAAACAATACATTTTTACATGTGGTGATGGTTTGTATAGAACAATTTGGGGTTTTACAGCTAAACTTGTGTGTTTGCCATCGGCAGAATTTGAATAGAGGAGCTGTGTGCTGGGCCCCAGATGCTGGCTGACAGTAGGTGGGCTGTTTGCTGTGGGGATGCCAGGTTGTGTTTTTGTTTGGCCCTCCTCTGTCCCGCCTGCTTCCCTCCCCCTGGCCGGTGGGGGGTCCTGGGCTCCTGGGGTGCGTCCCTGCTGACCAGTATCCAGGTATGAGGCTTTTCGGCTTGGCTAACACTAGCTACAGGGCTGTGGGAGGTTAACGAGGTACCAGCAGCCACAAGACACTAAACCCTCCCATGGGCAAACCACAAGTGGTGGATGTATCTCAATGAAGGGCATGAATAAGATATAAGACAGCAGTAGAGAGTGCATGAAGCAGAAAATAAAGAGTTACTGGAGGTAATCCTCCACCAAGCCATTTAATGAAGCACTTTTCTTTATAAATAACAAGATAAAGTCTTATGTTTTGTTTAAAAACGTGACTACTATACATGATTGGACGAAAGAAGCATCTGAAGTCACTGAGTAATCAAACTGGGATTTCAAGGCTCTATTTATAATTGAATTAGAACTGATTAGAATTTCTGCAGTGGGATTTTAGTCCAAGTTGGAACTAAAATCACAACTGATGTGTGACATCATCACAATGCCACATTCTTGATTAGCTGACTTTTCCTGCTCTCGATCAACCTTTGTTTGAAAGCATCAGGCTCAGAGCATAATAGCAATGCCTCAATGTTAATCCAAATGCCACCTCTGTTGGTCTGCAAATCAGATCACAATGTGGCTGGACCAAATCATCTTGATTGGCTAATAAATGAGATGAAGAGGAAATGCTGCCAGTTGAGCACCGTTCTTAGAAATTCACAGCACGTCATCTGAACTACCTTACCACCAATTTAGCTCTGAACTAACTCTAGTCGACTTCTCAAAGATTAGAATGTTCTCTCTCCATGAATAACTTAGGTTTACCTTTTAGTCTGAAGAAGAAGAAATGGGGAATCGAAGGGTGCTGAGGACTACTCCCTGAGGTACACCGAGCCATCTCTGCCAAACTACAAACCATTCAAGACACACAATAATTAACAGTGGTTGCATAAGTCCTGTGAGTCTGTTGGGATTCATACGTGTTGGAATTGTATGCAGTCAATAGAAATATCCCGAGCCACAGTTTTTGATAAAATGTACAAATATCTTAATGTCTGAGTCTTTCCCCTGAAGCGCCTGCTCTCCAGAGCAACAATAGCTAATCCAGATACACAACAGGTCAGCCTCCTCTGATTGGATCCTTGTGACCAACCGCAAAACAGCAGCTATGGCTTCTTCCAGCATGCTTCATGTCAATAAATCTATCAATGTTAGGTGCATATGGCTAAAGAGAAACCTTTTGTCCGTTACAGTTCTGAGAGTGTCAGCGTGGAACAGATGGACCCGGTAAGGCAGACCAAGCCATTAATTTGACCTTGACACAGAGAGCCAAGATGAAGTGAAAGAAGGAAAAACCGAACTCGTAAAGCAACACTTTACACGAGCTGTTTCCCTTGATCTTGACTTTTCTGTTTATTTTGGCTAAATTTGACGAAATGATCAAGTTGAGCACTTCGCGTCCCGGATGAACAGACTAGCGGAAAGCGCCTCCCTCAGCAGCCAGGCCCGTTCTGCAGCGGCAGAGTCAGTCCCACGATCCTCAGCCTTCGCTTCGTCTCCCTGACAGCAGGAGAAGCGTGACTCCGTCGATTCGCCGGGAGACAGGGGGAGGGCACATTGCCACAGACATTAACAAGCGTCTTCACCTTTTAACAAGCACGGCCCCGTTTAGCTGAAATGCTCCCCTGGGCTATTAGATATTTTCCGATGAATTATATATCAGAGGGTGAAGATGAAAGCGCTCAGTGTGAGCCAAGAACATAGCTGGGGGGACGACAAGAGGAGCAGATTTTTAAGCCTGGCCGGGCTGTTTGTTTTCTGATCGTTCGGGGAGAACGGGAAAACTCCACTTGGAGGCTACAGTAAAACTGCAATCAGGAGGAATATTAGCATCACTATGCTAAAAAAACGAAAAGAAAAGAAAAAGACTCTATAAAAGTAAATTAATACTAGCCATCAAAATTGTGATGTGTTTAATCAAACAGATTCCAATATTAGCCACTTTATTATTTGCCCTCTAAATATTTGGAATGAAATTTAACTGAAGATACTGGTTAAGTCAACATGAGCTATTTTCATTCCCAGAGTTTAGAGGAGGTAATGTTTTTATTTGTAGCACAGGCAGCATTTACTTGCATCAATTGGACAGGAAATGAGCAGTGAAAAAAAGGGGGAAGACATGTTGGAAATCAAACCCTGGAGGTCGAAACGTTACAGGTTCTTCCACCATGTCTCGTCACAAGCTAATATATTATGAAGCGTTTATTATGAATTGATGCATCAACTTAGCGAGACATGAAGAACTAGAAGATTTGTGGTTGAGAAACTTTCTTTGCTGAAGCAAATATTTGAGTTAAGTGTTTTGTTTTGGTTTTTTTTTTTCAAATAAATATATGAGTTAATAGACTTTGAGGACTAGCTTGTGAGGAGAGTCTGCTCACAAAGGTCTCATTGATTTTCATCTCGACTAAAAGGCCAACAGCCTCACAGTCTGTTCATCTGGCATGCAGACTCCTAATTAGTTCCCTAACCTGCTGCTTGTTGGAGAGCATCGGTTGAAGCCGCCGCCGAGGCTGAAGCTTTGGCCGACTGGAATCACACAAAAGACAAACAACCTAAATGAGATTGAGCCTGGATTAAACCAGAGCGGTGAAGATCTGTGGAATTAGCTTCTGATAATCCGGTGCATGCGTTTATTTAATCCTGAGATGCAAAACACAGTGAGTCCATGTGAAGGGGCAATGTTACATTAACTTTATTATCTCGTGTAGACATTATGTTTTCAACCAGCTGACATAGGTTTTTGTTTTTTTTTTAACCAAAATTGAAAGAAATCAAATGTCCACCTCTAGCTACTTTGGATAGTTTTGCTTTTTATTGTAGCAATTAATTAGATTTTTGACGAAGTTTTAATCTAACCTTTGTGTTTTTTTTTTTTTGTTTTTGTTTATAAGTTTACTTTATTGATTTTTTAAACCTCACTTCTGTAGGAATACAACCGGTTTAAAACATTCCACTGGTGGCGGTCTCCGCTCTTTTGGATCAGTCACTTGCTGACCTTTAAAAATTGCTAAACTCAGTAACCTTTCTTTTTATGACCTTCATGTAAAAAGGTGTTCCTCTTGGCTCTATAATAAGACCAACACGTTTTAAAATTTGTATTTCTATGTGAGTCAGTCTATCACTTTTTAGTCCATATATTATTCCTGTCAACTTTGTCTTGTTCTCATTTCACACAAAAAATCAACTTCCGTCACATTACGTGTAATGATTGGAGTTAAGCGCTTTTCAAGTTGTGGTAGTTAGCAGACGATCTCTATTTGATAAGATGGATTTTGGTCAAAGGAGATGAAAGATTTATAGATTTTCTTCCTAACAGTCGCTGTTATCCAATTTCTCGTTGCTTTGCTTGTGTTGCAGCCACATGTTTCCATCCTCTGCAAATCAAATTTCCCTCTCATTTCCATTGGTTGCTAAAATTCCTCTCCTCCCTCTCAAACACCCTCATACACTTTCTCTCCCTCTCTCCCAATAAATACTGAGCATCTCTCAGTTTAATCCGCATCCAACGGGGTTATCCAGAAGGAAACAAATCAAAGCCGCTTGATGGGTCTATAAGCCCAACCAAAGGATCGCTTTATATAAATAGAAGACTGAAGTAAGTAGAATTCTTTTTTTTTTTTTTTGGATTTTTTTTTTTCCTTTCTAGGATTTTCCTTTAATTTACAGTCAGACCAGGCAGCTTACAGGGAGATAATTGAGGAGGCGTGTTTGAGGGGAGGTTTGGGGGCTGGAGGGCTTTTCTCCCCTTTTCCAACCAAAGGAGCATTCAGGCAATGAATTACGGGACAACGCAGGATTCACAGGATTCACAACTTCACAAGGATTTAGTCAGGATGAGAGGAAAGCAGGCCACTAAATTGCTGCCTATTCAATTCTTAGCCAATTCCTTATGCTGCATTTAGGCAATTGATTGTCAACTAAAAAAAAAAAAGATAAAATCACTAAAAGAAATTCAATTATACATTTCTAAATAAAGGTGCAATTTTAAAAAAAAAAATTTTTTTACAAATATACATTTTATGTGAAATTTGAATATAGACAAAATGTACAATAATTTGAGAATTTTTACATTTTTCTAAAGCAGTTATTCTTATTTATTTTTAGAAAATTGAAAATAGAACGAGCTTTGTTTTTGATTATTGTCAATACTTGGGGCACTTTTTCTCTCTTTAAAATATACCTTTGATTCCAGTTAAAAAAAATAAATAAATAATAATAATAATAACAGAGACCACTCCTCTGGTTTCTGTATTTTTTCTTTTTTTTTTTTTTTTTTTTTCATTTTTTTTTTAGAGAGAGAGAGGGGGTTCGGGGTGTGTGCGGCTCGTCTGCCAGTCAGCTGCCCTTACAAACACAACGCCACTCATTGTTTGATTTTGATGACGCAGAAAATCGCGGAGGCCTGAACGCGGAGCCGCGGCTGCATGGCGTCCTGCAATCAGGCCAGCGCGTGCCGTCCGGATTATGGCGTTAATTTCTCTCAGAAAGAAGGAGGGGGGGTTAAAAAAAAAGAAAAGAAAAGAAAGAAAGATTTGAGCCAATAATAATTATTATTAGCCTGTAGTGGGACGGGAGGGGTGTTTATTACTGAGGAGGGGAAAAGTGACAGATTGAGTTTAGGGTGAGCAACAGCGACCGTTATTGGCTTCGGAAGAGTCCGGCTAATGCTAATAATAGCATTAATAGAGAAGCACACATTTTAAGGCAGGTCCCTGTGAGAGGATGCTAAAGGAACAAGAACATGTTTTTACTGATATTTTATTGATGCACTATATATATAAATATATATTTATAAAACAAGAATGTAACTACATTATCTGTATTTTAATTAAGCATAACACACAAGCCCTATAGTGCTAAACATTAGCTATTTGACCCGTAAGACTTAGCTTAGTAAAACTATGATGCTACTTTAGCTAATAGCCACAATGCTAATGTTCGTTCGAGCTTGCTAGGTGGGCTTCTTAAAGCTGTTTGTTGTTTTATTTTGTGTGTTTATTTACATTATTTAACTCTTTGTTTAATTTCTTTCTATCACAAACTGTCACAAACTTTTTGCTTATTTTTTAACATGGGTTATTAATTAGCAGAACTATCTTTATGATTAGGTGAAGGTTTTTATTTTTCCTGTTAAACTTTCTATTCAGAAAGAAATCATTAAAATGTCCAAAAATAAATTGTATGCAAATTGCTTCAACAGTTCCATCGGTTAAATTCTAATAGCTTGTTTGCATTTTTATGGCCATATAGGAAATGTTGATTACTAGTTAGAAAAGTTAACAATTTTTGTCGCAATGATCTACTTTGTCTCCACCTTCGTTAGCGGTTAAATTAGCATAAGTCGAAACACAGATTTATATCAATGTTGCAAACAGTTTGTTTTTAACAGTGTACTCAACTGTGAAATGTTACAGTTTGAACATCCTGCGCTATTAAAGGCTCTAAAGTCCTTCAAAATCCGTTTTGGACTGATTCATTTATACTCATTAACACAAAGATTCAGCTTTGAATCCAAGAAAGGAAAAAGAAATAAAAATCCTCTTAATCAGACAAAAAACCAAAGTGGTCTTTTTCATTTGTTTTGTTTGTCGAGTTATGTTTTATTTGTTCTGTCTAGATCTTCAATGGGTGTTGTGAAATCATTTAGATGTAGTTTCCATGATAAATAGTGGTGGTTCGTTTGTTTATGAACCGCTCCTCTCTAATCAACACTTCTCCAGAGTGTCACCTCTTAAATCTAATTACCGGGAGCAATTCATTAGGCAGAGGAGGAGGAGGTGGGAGAGCAGATATTTATGTTTCATAAAAGTTTTCCCTAAAAGTTTCCAGTTTCAAATCGTGAAGCACTGTTTTCAAGGCAACAACCAAACAAAACCATCCCGATAGATGCAGAGCTGTGATTAAATGCGCGCTCAGCCCCATTGTTTGTTCCCTGAAAGTCTTTTGTTATCAGCATTACTTATCGGTCAACACTGCGCTTTGTTTCTGCAAATCAGCTGCTTCGTCCCCAACCTGTGGGTGTATATGCTAATTGAGTGCACAGTTGGGGCCCAACGAGAGTGCGCATTTTAACAACGATGTTTTTTTTTTTTATTTTTTAGGCGGGGTTATTGAAGCTGTTAGAGGGAGGGGCGGAGGGGTTGATGGCGTAAACGCCTGTCAGCCAGACAGAGCATCTTCAGTCCAGTGGGGACAGCTGGGGGTCTCCTTTCTGCTTTAAGAGCCGCGCGAGTTTGAGGACGCCCATTTTTTTGTGTGTGTGTGTGTGCGTGCGTAAAGGCTGCGCTTAAAACCTGGCGGACATAGACCACTGTTAATATTTTTCATGTTTTCCTTCAGATTCATTTAGGAGCATTTCGGAATTCGGAGACGCCAGTTGGGAGGGGGAAACGCTATTCTTAATATTATTATTATTTGCGCCATTTTCTACTTTTTTGCGATCGGGGCGCCGGAGGCAAACATGATGTCCTATTTGAAACAACCGCCGTACACGGTGAACGGACTGAGCTTATCGACCTCAGGAGTGGACTTACTGCATCCTTCAGTGGGATACCAAGGTAACGGAGTGATTTCTTTACAAGTAGCCACTTTTAAATGTCTATTTCCTTCAATTTGCTACTCCGATCTAAAGGAGTTTCGATGGTGTTCCTCCAGTTTTAAATTGCAACGTGTCGTTATTAGCGACCCCTCGCAAGCAGAGGAGGGAGCGGACCACCTTCACCCGGGCCCAGCTGGACGTGCTGGAGAACCTGTTCGCCAAGACCCGCTACCCCGACATCTTCATGAGGGAAGAGGTGGCTTTAAAGATCAACCTCCCTGAATCCAGAGTGCAAGTGAGTCCGACAATTAATTACACGACTCTGTAATTTAAAAAAATGCACAGAATATTTGACATGCAATTAAATTCGTTTTTCGCGTTGTATTGTCTGATTTTTCTTGAACACCACCGAGTCGTGTTTTAGTCTTTTATCGTAAATGTAAGCGACCATCCGAATATTTTAAAATGCCACTTTTTGCAGGCTAAATTATGTAAACTATATTTTCTGTAGTAATAACTTCGTAGTTTGTGATCTATTCTGATTTAAATATGTTTTCTTTTTTAGGTCTGGTTTAAAAACAGACGAGCCAAGCATCGCCAGCAGGCCCAGCAGACCCAGACGGGCGTGCAGAACAAGTCTGTCAGCAGGCCGGTGAAAAAGAAAGGCTCCCCGGTGAGAGAGGCCAGCTCTGAGAGCGGAGCCAGCGGCCAGTTCACGCCGCCCTCCAGCACCTCCATGCCGGCTGTGAGCAGCAGCAGCAGCAGCAGCAACAGCAGCAGCAACAGCAGCAGCGCGGCGCCTGTCTCCATCTGGAGCCCGGCCTCCATCTCCCCGCTCTCCGACCCGCTCTCCTCCACGTCCTCCTCTTCCTCCTGCATGCAGCGGTCTTACCCAATGACCTACACCCAGGCGACGGGCTACAATCAGGGCTACACGGGTTCCTCGTCCTACTTCACCGGGATGGACTGCGGCTCCTATCTGTCGCCCATGCACCACCAGCTGTCCGCCGCGGGCTCCACCATGAGCCCCATGAGCGGCAGCGGGGTGTCCAGCCACCTGAGTCCGGCGTCCTCTCTCTCCTCGTCGGCGTACGGAGGGACGGGGCTCGGATTCACCGGTGCTGCGGACTGTCTGGACTATAAGGACCAAACTGCCTCATCGTGGAAGCTAAATTTCAATTCGGACTGTCTGGATTATAAAGACCAAGCAGCTTGGAAGTTTCAAGTGTTGTGAGGGAAGAGAAATGGAAGAAATTGGGAACTTTTATAAACCCATGCAGAGCCGGTGGAAGACTGAATGCGGTCCTGAGCGGAAATTGATTTGGGTGGCACCACCAGCAACCACACCACCACCACCTACATTAACTTATTGGGCTTTTTTTAAAATTATTATTCCCACTTACACAGTTTTCTAACATAACAAGCACAATTATGATATAATATTTCACAATATGTATTTAAATAAAGGGATACCAACAAATAAACTGTGGAGAAATCACTGGCCAAATTTAAAAGTCGATTCATTCTCGATTAACAGACATCTTTGGATCTGTGTTCTGGGTGGTGGCATGCTGGGGGTCCTAAGCAGCAGCGTCTGGCTCTTGCCTCGACCCGGCTCTGCATTCATGCAAAAGTAAAGTTTCTCTCTCTTTTATTTTTTCTTCCTTCCCTCCACAAGAATCCAGGCCCTAACTTCTACCTCGGGTCGAGCAGCGCGGGACTGTCTCACACTTGTTGGACTAACTTATTGACCATCGAGACTCCACTTTGATCAGGGGCACGGAACAAATCTGCTGACCAGAAAAGAAGAAGGGAAAAATAAAAGGATCAAGAGAGACGAGCTTGGAGGAGTTTTGAAGGATTGGTCAGGTCTTTTTCCAGCTAAGCTCCTTAAAGACTCTCCTTTTTCTCTTTCTTCTTGTTGGCACGCTGAATGGGCGCCCCTTTGATCAAAGCGATGTGCATGAGTGTCTGTGTTGTAAAGAGCGTGTGCGTGCGTGCGTGCGTGAGCGAGAGAGAGTGTGAAAGCAGCTCTGACGCGAACTTGGATGCACTACTTAATTTATGGAAGAAGAAGAAAAACATAAAATATACGAGTATTTGACAATCAGTCCGTTCGCGCGTGAGCCGAAATGTCTTTCATGTGTTTTTAAATTTTCATTTCTCCCCTTGTAAAATTTCTTTTTACCCGACTTGTGATTTTTTTTCTTCCTTTCTATAACCTGTATGCAATTCTGCCTTGCGTAAAAATGCGCAGGAAAAGCAAGCTGTGAATTTCACCTCCCCCCCCCCCCATGTTACCGGTGATAACTAAAAGAAGGATTTTATTGGTTTTCATGATAAATCAGGAACAACAACAGTGTAAATGTTGCATCTGAAGGTCCGCTCAAAACTGTAAAGAGCGACAAAAAAAAACCCACTATGAAACAATAAAGACCTTTTGATTCAGATGCGATGTTTCGCTTCGTTTATTGCAGCACAAAATGTCAGCAAAGTGGTTCTTGCTTTCACGCAAATCCTCTTGGCGCACATTGAATCCTTGTCATTTAGTTTATTTTGAGGAGTTCTCGAAACCTGAACTTTTTTGTGACAGCACGCACTGAGTGGGGGAAGAAAGCGTGACTCGCTCACGCAGGAGGTCAATCTGACTTTAATGCGAGAAAAATGACAAACACGCTGGCCATGCTTTTGGCGCAGCTTGAGCGCAAAATCAAAAGCACACAGAACACATCGAAAAGCTATATACTTATATAAAGGCTATATTGATATCTAACTCAGACGGAAAGTACATGTTGCAGTAGTCAGGACGCATTTGGCCCAAGCGGCTACAACCGGTGGATTCAAGCAAGACGTCACGTTGCTTTCATCAGGCCTGAACGGGAAACCGTGACCGAGTCTCGGATCTGAGCCGTGACTTTTTGACGTCCCTCGGACCGACAATTAGCAACAATTGACCCAATTAAACCGCGGCGCCCCAACAGCCTTTGAAATGAATTGAGACAATGACGACAGCTCAACACATCTTCAATGATGAATGACAGACAAAACAACATAATGATAGTAAGTCATAAAATAATAAAAAATAAGAGTAGAAAAAGGAATGTGAAAATATCAAGATCATATTGTAAGAAATGGCTCCACCACCTAAAAGATGACTTGGTGATTATATTTCACTCGGGTTTTCAGTAAGTCAGATTTCCTGCAGCATCTGGAGCGCGAGGCCCTCCCGGGTTTCCTTTAATTAAGCACAAGAGGCCCTAAAGAGGACATATGGGCCAGACAGTTTATTAATCCTCTCATCTTATTTAAGGATGTTAAATAATAATAAAGAAAGAAAAAAAATAGGGAGTCAGAGATTTTTTTTTGTTTGTCTTGTGGCCCCCCAGGCGAGGCTTTCCCCAAGCGGCGTCACTTCAGCCGGATCGGGGGATTTCCGGGATTTCCTCCCAGCTGGGATCGGGCTGAGGCTGTTTGACCACAAAGTTTTCCACACCGGTTGCTGTTAATCACCTCGGAAATATCTCAAAACTCGCCTGCTTGCTGCCATGGCAGAGAAATAGTCCGGACAACACGATCAGTCTGGAGTCCAGACAGACAAACCCAAACTGCGCCATTTCCATCCTCCGCAGTCCTGACCGGCAGGTGCTCTGTTGATGCAGATGCTCACTGCATCGCATCGGGATGAACAGAATGGACTTTTTAAAAAATAAATAATTAAACATAAGAACTTTTCTGCTCAACGACCCGTCGGTGAGAATCACAACCGAGGAGCATCGTTGTGTGCGCGCATGGAGCGGATGCCGGTCGCATATAAGCGCGGCGGCGCAAACATAATTCATCTGCAAGCAGGAGCCGCGGTGGTGGAATCTCGTTTAAACAAGTGGAACATCAGTGTTTGTTTGTGTGCTTTCATCGGACCGGGCGCCTCCGCGGCCTCGCTGACCGCGGCTGAAACGGAGAGAGCGCACGCGCGTAATCCTGCTGAGCGAGATTACGTCAAAAATGCCGTCGCGGAAACGTTAGAAGATGATGCCGTGCAGAGGCTTAAGAAGACGGAGAGCAGAGCCAATGTTTGGCTACAACAGAAAAATAAAAAAAATAATGAAAAATTAAAAAATCAATAAGTATTTAAAGGCGCGTAGAGATAAATCCCAGTTTGAAGTCTTACCTGACTTGTCAGGTAATAGCAGCAGATAGGGTGACTATGTGCTTTTTAATTTTTTATGTTTATTTGTGCCACACTCTTTTCATTTTACATTTGATCAGCACAATGAGATGTTTAAAGCTGGAGACATTCTTTTTTCCTACTTCTCCAGATCGTCCTCTGTCTTCAGGATGCTGCTGTTTGTGCTCCAGCAAACATCTGAGGCCTTCAATGAACAGATAAGTTCATACCATTAAGTTACACACCATGGAATAGACTTACAACTTAGATGCTTTCTGAAGGAGATCGGTTGCTCTTGACTGACACAATTTAAAAAATAAAATAATAATTAAAAACTATATGTTCCCATTCTTCCTCTCTACAGTTACACGATACTTCACGTAGGATTATGAGGCGCAGTCCAATAAAATGCAGCAATGTTTGCGGTTCTGATATGGCAGAATGTGGAAAACTTTAGAGGTTTGAGCAAAACTTTCTCCGACTTCTTGCTTTTTTATTTGTTGGTAGTAAAAAGATGCGTTCCTCGTGATTCCAGACACAGCACAGGACATCTTCTTGGCTTCAGGAGGAAATGTTAGCAAATGTTGTAGAAAAAACTCCCCCCTACCCCCTACCCCAAGAAACACCCTGTTGTTTTCACCTTCTGTTCAGGATACTTTAGTGGCCGCAACAACAGAGGAAGGTTTCTAATTTTACACAGCAATGTACATAATCAGGCTGCTTCTGAGGATTTTATAAACGTCCAAACCAAATTGGCCGTATGTGAGATGAAAATTGTAATTTTTCTAGACTGTAGATGTTCGTAACTTTGCTTTTGATCTGCTCTTGAAGTTTTGTTCAACAAAAACAAAATATCAAATGTAATATTTATTAAAGGAGAGGCGCAAGCAATCAGAAATACTCATAGTGCTATTTTGGCAACATTTCTGTAAACATGAGCGCATATGTTGCATATATAGCACACGAAGCAGAAAGCTGATTAGAGATTTGACATAAAATCCAGCATATGTAAAAGAATGACTTGCCATTAAAGTATTAGTGCTGTGCATACATTTAAAGCCGTTCTAACATGTTAGGTTTTTTTTTTCCTCCCCAAAGCATCCATTTCCCTTGAGACCCGCAGCATCCTGGATTATGCCAAAAGTGGACATTCAGCCAGCAAAGCAATTTTGCCTTTTTTGCAAACAGACCATTGGAAAAAAAAAAAAAAACAACAACAACAAAAAAACCCCCCTGTAAATCTCCTTATGAAGCAAAAAAGAGAGAAAGGTCTTAATAAGAGATTACGGGCGTTTAATGGTCACATTTAGGTTTGAACTAAAAGCATTTAACACAAAGAGACAACTGAGAGGAGAGCCGTCAAGGAAGTGAATACATGAGGCAACGGGAACAAAGACTGCGTGAAACATAAACTAAGGTTTTATCCTCTATCATACCTGTAATAAAATAGTAGCAACTGGTAATAAAACAAGTAATATTTTATCTTATTTAGAGTCACACAGATGTGTCTGTAGGATATCAATGGCACGTTTCACAACAGTGTCACTGATTATATCAGTTCAGTGGCCCTTGTATGAATTCAGTTTGAATTAGTTTTCATGATAAAATTAACTTGTTTAATGTAATCAGTTAAGCACAGATTAGCCCCCAGATTATCACTTATAGACCTGTTACAGGGTCCTATTTTTAATCAACTCTAACTGCCTTCCTGCATGCAAGCGACAAAAAACATCCCTTAAAAGACCTCCAAGCTTAGATATTAATGTACTGCACAGACACACACTATTATTCAAATTGCACTCCTTATTTTAACTGTTGGGATTTTAGGAGGATAACGTTTTGCGTTTCAAAGTTTGGATCATTTAAGCAGGTCTGTCCAGGCTCAAGTCTGAGTAGCAGACTGGACTTTCTTTAAAGCGCTGACTCAGCTGGACGGTTCCACACCAGGCCTCCCCAGAGCTCCAAGAGCCGCTGGCGAAGGCGTTCAGGAGGAGGGACTAATCTAAATGTTGCAGGGCAGAAATGGTGCCTTCAATGTGCTTTTCCAACTTCCCACTCGGAAGAGAAACAATGTTTTCCACTGTAGTGCGGTTCTGAGCAATTTTTTTATTCTTAGCCAGAGCTAAGCTCAGATTTTAAACTGCCCTTCTGCTCAGGACAAGAGGTTATGAGTCAGATTTGAATCACGCTGCCCAATTTTATTTTTGACGTGACAGTAAATTGTTTTAATCGCATTTGTGTTTTCCTGAATGGGGAGTTGCTCATGAAGGAAAGTATTAAACAACACTGAACTAATTTAGCTCCTGATTGGATTGTCCAGCTGGATATGAATCGGTCCTCAAAAAGCCTTAAGAGGTTTGTAAATTGTTTTTGAAATAAAACGTTTCCCTCAGGAAAACACACGTAACCTCTGGGATGTTGCAAATATATGGAAGAATGACCAAATATAAACATTGATCTGTCTGGTAAAATCGAAAATACTAATAACAGCAGAAGCTACTGGATGTCGCCTTGAACAAACTGTCTGCATGGTGAAGTGCAGCAGTGGCAGCATGATGCTGTGGGTGTGCATTTTAGGGGTGTGCGATCCGATATTGAGTAAACACGGGACTAGTATCAATACCACTAAATATTTTCACATGTCATCATTATTAAATAATTTGGGGGTATGACTTTAATTATTAGGATAACATACAGGTTAAATATTTTAGATAAATAATTGTCATTACCTGTTTACAGTATAACACAATGAAAGAGAAAAGAAAATAATAAATTCCCCTTGTACCCTCCAGAACAAATGACTGCTTATTAACTTGGTCTTTACCTGTAATCTGCATGTAATTTCAATAGGAATAATATGACAGTTAACACAAAAGCTCTGTCATATTCAGCCATGTTAATATTTCAAGTTTTAGGTATAGGTCTGTGTATTTTTTCTGGGTTTCAGTGAGATTATTTTCAGCTGGCTAAATTTTAGATGATAGTTTTTAGATGATATGTCTCGTCTCTGCAGCCCAGAGAGGAGACTTTAAAACACTATTGTTGGTTCACAAATCACTGAACGGCTTACAGCCGAAGATCTGCTGTCGTTGAATCAGCCCTCTTCTGGTTCTGGAATCAGAACCAGAACCAGAACCAGACATGGGGAAGCAGCAGTCAGCTTCTGTGCACCGCAAACTACAGAACAGACGAAACACTGAACTCCTTCAAATCAAGGTTTAAGAATAATTGTTCAAGTGGAGGATTGAGCGACATGCTTGACATGCATTTGCTTCTCGATTTCGA